AGCTTCTCTATCCATTCGTTTGTTGATGGGCACCTGGGTTGTTTCCAACTCCTTGCTATTGTGAACAAAGCTGCGATAAACATGGGTGTGCATATATCTGCTTGGATGTCAGCTATGGTCTCTTTGGGGTATATTCCTAGTAGTAGAATTGCTGGGTCAAATGGTGAATCTATTTGCAACTTTTTGAGAAAGTGCCATACTGCCTTCCACAGTGGCTGCACCATGTTGCTAGGTTTTGATGAATTTTTTATTCTAATTAATTTGTTATTAAGTGCCTATGAACAATAGATCTGAACTCTTAAGTCAGTTCTGACTTCACAGTACATAAGAATAATAAATAAAAGAAGACTCTTAAGACTCTGGATCAGGAAGCAGTCATCAGAACAGAACAAGGAAACATTGCATAGTTCAGAATTGGGAAAGGGGTGTGTCAGGTAGACTATGCCCACCATTAACCTGTCTTTTCAGGTCCCCACCAGATCTTCCTGTTTCCTTTATCCCTTCTCTCTACCCACCAAATTTTGCAACCCTGTGATTTTACCTCTACCCATCCTCACCTGTTTTCTCCCAGACCTTTCCCCCTTGGATCCTACATGTTTTATTAGTTTTGTTGGTTTTTTTTTGTTTGTTTTATTAATTATCCTTCTATTTTTACAATAATGGTCTTATGCAGTATTTGTCCTCATGAGACTGAGTTAGTTCACTCAGCATAATACACTTTGATCCCTCCAAGTTATGTAGTGTTTTTTTGCAATTGTTGCTTGTGAGTGCTTCATAGTATTTCATTGTGAATGTACCATAGTTTCTCAATCCATTTGGTTGTGGTTGGACATTTGGGCTGTTTCCGTATTCCTCTAATGGTGAATAACACTGCTATGAACATTGGTCTACAAATCTCTGTATCTCAGTCCTAGTTTCCTTGGGGTATATTCTTAGTAATGGAATAGCTGGGTCATATGGAATTTCTATGTTCATTTCTTTGAGGAAACTCCAGATTGTCTTCCAGAGTGGTTGTACCATTTTACAATTTCACCAATAGTGTATGAGAGTTTCCACCCCTTCATATTTCCTCTGGCATTTATTGCTTGCTGTTCTGCTAAACTTTGCCACTGCTACTGGGGTGAGATTGTATCTCATTGTGGTTTTCATTTGCATCTCTCTTATTCCTGGTGATTTTGAGCATTTCTTCATGCTGACAGTGTTTTGTGTTTTTTGTTTGGTTTTGGTTTTTTTTAATGCACCGAGTGTGAGGTGCTAGAAGATTCAAGGAAAACTAGCTGAGATATTTGGCTGGAGTTGTTAGAAGGACAATTCTCAGGGAGAACTGTGCCAGGGAAGCTGCATGAGAAGGATACAGTAGAAGGAGCAGATTTTTAAGGGAGGCCAGGAGTTTGAGTGTGGAGTAGTTGGGATTTACCTTCACAGCCAGACTTCCAGGAGCCACAGTTTGTGGTTGTGGATATGTCCGTGTCGCTATGTGGATCATAGAAAGGCTAGTTAACATTGCAAGAATGGGAATTCCAGAACATGTATCATTGTGCTCATGTAAGGCCTGTGTGTAAATTCAAAGGTAATCCTTTGACTAGAATAAGGGAGGTAATTTATAGTTGGTATCAGAGTTGTATCCTTTCACCTTATTTATTTGACCTCATTGTTGAGCAAATACTCCAAGAAACTGGACTAGATGAAGAAGACAAAGACGTCAAGATTGGAGAAAGACTGTGCTATGCAGCAGTTGGCAGTCTGTTTGGCAGGTGGCATGGCTTTGCTTGCAGAAAGTGAAGATGATTGGAGCACTTGGTGAAGAAGGTGAGAGCCTGCAGTCTTTAGTATGGATTACACCTCAACATCAAGAAAAAAGAATTCTCAGTAACTGCATCAATAAACAACATCGTGATAAATGGAGAAAAGAATTTCGTTTTACTTGGATCTATAATTAACACTCATGGATGCAGCAGTAAAGAAATCAAATGATGTATTCAACTGGGCATATCTGTTGCAAAAATCCTCTTAAAAGCAAATGTGTCACTTTGAGAGCTTGAGGTATGCTTGATGTTATGCCTTTTCAGTTGCCTCATCCATGTAAATTCGCAACACTCTTGGTACCATCAGCTAGGAAATAAAAAACCAAATTGTACTGGGAAAGTCTGCTGTCAGAGATCTCTCCAAAGTACTGAAGAGCAACGATGTCAGTCTGGAGACTCAGGTGCACCTGATCCAGGCCATGGTCTTTGCAGTTACTTCCTATGCTTTGGGAAGCTGGACAGTGACTAAGGATGATAGAGGGAGAATTGATGCCTTTGAGCTATGGTGCTGGAGAAGAGTATTGAATATACTATGGACTTCCAGGAGAACAAACAAGTTCGTCCTATAGAGAATGAGATCAGGCTGCACCTTGGAGGCAAGGGTACTGAAGCTTCGTCTGATGTACTTTGAACATATTGCAAGGAGGGACGTCATGCCTGGGAGGGTGGAGGGACAGCACAGGAGGGGAAGACTCTTGTTGAGATAGAATGTATGCGTTTGTATTGTGTTAATAAAGAATATTGCTTATACCATGGATTGCTGAAAGACACACAGATTTGTTCTGCCTCTCTATCCTGATCTTGACCACTCAGACCTCCTTGTCTGGGAGCTCTCCTGTCCTTCCTTCACCGTGTCTGTGGACTTGGAAGCTCTGGGGCATGTTGCCAGAAGGGAACAGTCCTTGGAGAAGAACATCATGCATGGAGGGGTGGAGGGACAGCATGAGAGGAAGACCCTAGATGAGATGAATTGAGACAGTGGGGTAGGTGTGGCGGACACAGTGAGATTGGCAGGATTGGACACAGGATTGAGCAGGGTTCAGAGTTTTTGTGTGTAGGGTCACTGTGATTCGCAGGTGACCTGATGGCATATAACACCACTACCACTGCACGAACGCTCAGCCATCTTCTGCGGAGGTGCTGACCACCATGGCAGGAAAATACTGACCACAGTAGTTGTCAGGCTGAAGGAATGAAAATGACAATTTCATTTCCCTAGTTTTTTATTCTACGTCATTCCATATTTCTTTTTCTTTTTTTTTTTTAATTTTTGTGTGAGTGTACCGTCAAATCAGATCTGACTGGTACAGGAGGAGATTGTTCCTCCTTTTCCCGGCAGAGCATCTGGTGGATTCGAACCGTGAGCCACTGGGATTGTAGTTGCAGCTCCTTGCCACTAGGCCACCAGAGCTCCCCTCCATATTTCTTTAGAGCTTTAAAATAGAGCAGTTATTTTTATGCATGTTTGACTTTTTAAATGTAAGCTTTATTTTATACCTTAGATTTTTTTTTACATGGTATCTCAATATATATATTTCTTATTTGACTTATCTGCCAATTCATGAATTGATACTAAAATTGAAGAAATTATTTAAATATATATTGTAATATGTTATACATGTGCATTCTAATTTTACTATTCCTAGATACAAGATATAATTGCCTAGAAAGAAGAAATAGATATTTTGAATTTTTTGATACGAAATTACCAAAAAGTGATTATTCTTCTAGATGAAATTGCCAAGTACCTGGAAGCAGTGAAGCTGCTGGACTACACGGAAAAGCCTGCCTACCAGGGGTTACGAGACATCCTCTCCCAAGGACTCAGAGCACTGGGGAGCAAGGATGATGGCCATTTGGAGCTCAGCCTCGTGGAGAATGGAGGGGTGAGACCGAAGACAGTGACCAAGGTGAATGTGCATTACCTGGAGGGGTGGGGTGGTGGTGTATTTATTGTTATTAGCAACACTTGTCATTTAAGAAAAGCAAAGCAAAAATGAACAGAATCCTTGGCAAATCATGGATTCCCTCCCCCAAGCAAAGGGGCTCTGGTGGCCTACTGGTAACAGGATGCCCTGCAATCCCAAAGGCACAGGATCTGGGTCTCCCAGTTGCTCCTCCGAGAAGAAGGATGGGCAGTCCTTCACCCGTGAGATTTATTGTCTCTGAAATCCTGCTGGAGGGTCAGCTGTGAGTTGGTTCTGACTCGACCGCAAACAACCTGTAAACGGAGACTCTTGTCATCATACAGAACAACGCACAGACGGCTGTAGAGTTTTGTCTGTTCTGCAGAGATCTATACAGTACAGTATAGTACTGATGTGGATCCCTGCTGCCTGGCCAGGGTCCTGCGGGCACTGAGAATGCACTAGACTGACCTCCCAGGACACCAGGAGGCCTAGGCGTCCTCTCAGCTCTCTCCATGCCTCAGAATGCTAAGGATTTGAGCTCCACCAGGAATGAAGTTTAGAGTTTGAAAGTTACTTCATTTTTTTAAAGAATTACCACTATGTAAAACTATTTGTATATGAGGTGATTAATTTTTATTGAGAAATATTAGGAACATTTAATTTAGAAGCATTGTGCCGGCATGTGATCAACTGGTATACTTCTAAGTTTTTATTATACTGGCATATGTTTTACTATGTCCAGAATTAACTTATCATTCCCTTTATTGATTATTTTTATGATTAATTTTCTGATTACCTTTATGATTTAAGGTGCTTTATTAACATAATTTTGCTTTTGTTACGTGCCGTGCCATTAATTCATAGTGAAGCTGTGAATAGTGAGTCAGAAACCTGACCTATCTTGTGGCATCCTTACCATCTCTGACAAGGAAAGCCACTTATAGAAGAAAGAATTTTTACATTATTAACCATTTTTGCAGTTTGTTCTGTAAACTGACAGGTCATCCTGTATTCACATTGAAAAGCCCATTTTCCAAACTATGAGAAAGTCCAGAAGTAGAAGCAAATCCTCTCTCTAAAGTCATAAGCAGCTTGTTAAAAACCTAATTGATGAGCAACATTCCTTTGTCTTATGGAAGAAAGGAGTATGGTAATTAAGCCTTCAGTCTGCTTTTCTGTGGCAAATGGTAGGTCTGCAGTCTCCTCACACATGTATGTTTTCTTCTCCTTTTGCAAGTTTTGTCTTCATTGTGTCTTGTCTGTTTTTATGGCTGCTGCTGGCAGCATAGAGCTGAGCAGGAAGTGAAGCCCATGTGCACGCAGAGGAC